GATGCACTCAGCAGCAAACTTTGCTTGTGAGACTGAACCCGTAGTTCCCCCGAGGGCATTGGATCTCTCAGGAGTCAGTAATCCTGATGGATCAAATGCGAAAGATCCCAATCTGCCAAGATCAGCATAAGGACCGATGTCGCCTGCTATGTCAACTCAGAAATGGCCTTAAGAAAGATCGCCAAAATTGGTGGGCCAAAATAGCTAGTGAAATGGAGGTAACTTCTACATCAGGGAATAGTAAAAGACTATTTCACCTGATACGCAGCACCGGAGGTCGTCGCATACCGGTCAGTGAAACCATTTGCGATAAAATTGGACAGAGTATCCACAATAAAGGGCAACGACTTGATCGCTGGGCAGAGTATTTTAGTGAGCAGTTCAATTGGCCCAGTGCTAATGTGGTCATTCCAGCAATTGCGGCGGAATCCGAGTTTGGGTTTTTTGCCGAAGACTTCGTCTATTTCCCGTGAACGATCTATCTCTGTGTCTGCTAAGCAGTTCGCTTGTCAAAATGTTGCCAAAAGTAGACCAATCATCGGCGTTAGTGATTTAATAGATTATTGTTTGTTTGATTTCTCCGGATTGTCTTACACAGGGAGATTCTTGTCGTGTGACTTCATTGTGGGTACTGTCATTTAGGAAATGAAGAAGTATTTCTAAACCACAGTCTATCTGTAACTGGTTTTAATGGTCAACCCAGATTTCACATATGATTGATTCTTCGTCCTGTAACTTGGGATCCTCATTTTTCGCGTATTTGATTTCTTTGTCTTATCAGATTGTGGACAGCATATGTGATCGAGCCTAATGCAGGGTTCGCAACAAGCTTTCGGTCGTGAAACTGGTCTGTGCAGTCGTGGTGGTTGTTTCATTTTCTCCTTTCCTCTCCGAGGCTGTGTATTCCCTTCTCCTCACCTTTGCTTATCTGGTTTTCTTTTTCGCCACCTCTTTATGGCATTCTTCTCAATCTCTGTTGTGATATTTGCATCTGCGAGGCATTTCTTGAATATACTGTCACTCTGTTTTGTCAGAATACATTGTTGCAACGAATCCATCTCGCGTATCTTAGTGTTGATTTGCTGTCGACAGGCTCCTGACTAACGCTACAAACCGATGGACGTGTAAGGGTGCGGTTGTCTTTGATGTTCAAAGTGTCATTGGTTTGATTACCTTTCTGGTATCCATTTTTGCGTGTCGTTTAATTATGTTATCCCCAACCCTTACAATGACATCCATATAATAAATTAATGGAAAGGGGTATGGTGTAGCCAAACAATCCATATTCATCTATGATAAGAAGGGAAGGAAGGTGTTGCGTAACCGGTAGTAGTTAATCTATATCATCACCATGTTCATGTGTGACGCAACCACGTGCCAAGAACGAAATTCGGTTACGAAAACTCTTCGATGGGCCGGTCTCATTGACTTTAGACTTAAGTGATTGAAACAAATCAGCTCGCTCCTGACTACATGAAATGGGCTGTAAGCAACTGTTCGAAGTATGAAGATTATTCCGACCAATATGGATGTCACATCTCTCAGCACGAAATAGTTGATTTCATGTGATAATATTTACCAAAAAAATATGAATAGGGGCATTCTAGTGATGGAACTGAGGCGTTTCACCCCGTAATGCACCGCAGACCTGTTTCGAATATCAGGGTAGATACTTTTTCCAGGTTGACCGCGTTGCCATGGGAAGTTCATTAGAACCCATCCTGACCGTCATATTCATAATGAACATTGAAAACATACCGAGAGCTATCATCATTGAAAACTATTTCTATAAAAGACATCCATTGGGAACACAATAACACAGTGTTTCCTGTTTTTTTTTGAAAAAATATTCACCGTGACTGTACCGTGTTAGTTTTCATTATATTTTTCGACTAANAGTTCGTATGGGGAAAAGAATGTTTCAGTCTCGACATCAACAGCCCCGAAGACCTTTATCAGCCTCTTCCAGAAACTTGATGCGTTCACCAAAATCCAAATTTGTCTATCAAGCCCGATCACAAAAACTTCGCATTTTGTAAATAAAAGTTATTAGAATTGAAGACCCTATTATGTGCCGTAAGCATACACGATCGGCCCGGGACCTACACTGCCGCTTTTTACCACTGAGTCGCAAACGTGGCTTTCTGAGAATGGTGTACTTACCCAACAGACTGACACGAAATAGATCCGTCAACGGTGTGCTTCACTCCGATATGGGTGTTTGTGAATAGGCAATATACAGTACGTAAACCAAAAGAACTGTTGGTATCAGAAACTAAACACCAGTTGTCATACAAGGGCGACGATGTAGCCGAGTTGCTTTGCACAGGGTCTTAAGTTAGCAATCGAATAGTCATACAGTGCCGCCGTAACTGTCCTACATCGGGCATTCCGACATATGCACTCCTCGGTGAATTGGCCGTTACCGGTTGGGCGGTGGTGGCCAAGTGGTTAGGTCACAAAATGGTGACTCGAAATTCCCGGGTTCGAACGGCTCCACCGCCGGCCCATCTTTCCTATTTATGTTTTTCCCCTGGCAGGTTTTGTATGGCCGCAGCCCCCTTTCTTGAAAGCTGACTGTACACTTGCATATTCAATAAATTAAAAAGGAAGTAAGAAGACTTATTTATTATGTGGTAGCTGGATCACCCACCTAGGCCGCAACGGTGAGTGGATAATCATTGGGATGCAGGTCAGACGTCACCGACTAGACGACAACCGGCCTGCTTGAAGCAGAATCTGACCGATCGACCCACTGCGGTCTCAGTAATCCAACAGCAGTTCACTTACACTACAGCAACTACGACTCAAAGATGAAAATCTAGTTTAGGATCGCAGAACGAGTTATTTGTTGCGCTAGTAACTGAATTACANNNNTTACAAATGAGAATTTATTGCCAGTAGGTCTGTCTACTTGTGAACATACATATCATATAATCTATAGTATTCAACCAATGAGAAACATATTCGGATGCAAATTATTCAACTTTAATCTACCACCTTTCCTTAAACTGCACTGGAAGTGATTCGCTGCACCATTCTAACGGAATAATCTTTTCTAGACCAAACCAGTTTAGTTTCTTTACGGGCATTTTGTTTTCAAGTACGTTTGTTCGTTTGATTGCTACCCCACAGCCATGTCTGTCGGAGGACGGAGTCAGACCCTTTTAATTTTCTCAAATGCCTTAATATTCTTTCTTAACCATCCAGACAGTCGGCTAATAATTACTCATGTAACGTGCACAAACTCCTGAACAATGAGATTTTCTGATAGATAACAGTTTAACTTAATCGAGTATGCATCATCATGATAGTAAATTGGGTCGACAATCATTGCATGCTTAGAGGTTGACATTCACCATCATTTGCTCTTGGTGCATGGGAGAAGTGGAGGATTCGATTTGGTTTGAGGTGAATTTCGTCATGTACAGAGATGAAGAAATATGAAGCACTGGACAGCTGTTTTGATCCGATTGGGTCTCATCAGCAGTGAGGATTCATCGAATCCATGGCCTCTCGCAAGCCTAACTATCCACTCGATCACCCGACAGCTGATCAGACCGGTTTTCCTTTTGCTCATACACGATATAGCAAACTTGTTACTAGGAGCACATCTCACTCATTTCAGCGTTGGTCCCCAGGGTGGTGATTTGGTTGGAAACCTCCATAACGTGACCATTTTCCGCACTGACCAGAAAGTATCTGTGTCGATCTCGACGGGATTTTCAAACATCAAAAAATTTGAATCTGATTTAGCAAAAGCAGTTAGATTTTATTTGCCTCAACTATGGTCAAAAAAATGTTTATCAAATCCGACGCCGAAGTCCGATCTCCAGTTGTGAAATGGTTATTCAGTCTGTGCTCTTTATAAAAAAACAGTGGTTTTTCAGAATGATATTTGGGGTGTACATCTGTTTTGGAATATTCCATCTAACACTGCGGGTGGTGTGACTGACAGTGAGCCCGTTTTTTGTCCGACATTTCGATCTCTTTCTTGACACGGCTTCCTCCGATTAGCCATCCTAAAGTGCTCTGGAACCTCTCGCGATATCTTCCTTCCTCTCGGAATGTCCACATGTGATGGAACAATGCAATGCATGAACTTGTTTTTCGATATTTCATGGACTGGTTAAATACAACGCTTAGGCGTGGCCGAACTCATAATCTATCTCTCAACTTACAACGTCTGTTTGTTTAAATATAGAATGCGGTTTTGAAACAGAAATAAAAAGGTGTACTTGCTCTGTTGTTTCCGTAGAGCCTATTGATCGGGAATTTTCTTTCAGCTCTGCTGAAAAGGAATACCAAACACATGGCCATCGCAAACACCACAGTATCACTGGTTATGTATTACCAAGGTGTTACTGTGCTCTGTCGAAATGCTGTTAGAATTATCAAGTTTCTTAAAGCGAAAGGCTTCTAATACACTAGACCAGTGGCTTGATCGTTTCTATTCGTCGGGAGGTCGTTTATGGGCCGTATCGATACCATAGCTTCGTTCTACGCACGACGAAATCAAATATACGAACAGGAAAAAGGAGTAAAAGTTATGCAAACGAATAGCCGCCCGGAGAAGCTCGTAAGAGGAATGCTCAAGCATTGTCTAGTGGTTTACGCATAGTCTTGAACTGAAATACGCCAGGATTATTGGACTCAAAATTTCACATCTCAAATCATGGAGTACGACTACTGTAGTTGGAAAATCAATTTGAAAACTTAGAGTGAATTAGGCAACATCATCTGAGTAGCTGAAATTTAGCTTGTTACGAAATTATTTTATTTGGTTTTCTTCTCCACAGACGATTTTACCACTAAGATGAACCCACTTTTTCAGGGGTAATAAAAAGTTTGTCACAATTAGTTGTGAGTTAAATGTGATTGTAGACAAATTAAAATTGTTTATAAATAATGGGATAACTGAAAACGATATTGGATTCCATTCTGCCACCTAGGAAACAGTCGAACCTGTTAGGATCCCTAAATCGACTAAATGGGTTTCTGAAATTCTCTAAGTATGACCTTTCGCTGGATTTAAAGAATTTCCGCTTGGCACTCACGTACGGATTTTCTCCGTGTTTATGCCTATGTCTCCCTTAGTGACCATCTGGTCTACAATGACGAATTCAGTAGAAAAGTCGATGGACTTCGTATACACATAGTTCATTGGTTTCACTAAAAGCAAATCAAATTGGAGAACGAAGTGCGTTTAAAATCATGGAGGAATTTTGACTTATACAGGAGTCATATAGGTACCAAAAATATATATACATACATTACAAACTTGCTGCCAACGCAACACAAGAATAACGGAAAATGTGGGCTTTGGACACGAAGCAGTGTAAAGGGGTTCAGATGGTCAAGTTCGAAAACGATAAGAACAATTGTTTTTGTTTGTTTCGCCTAAGACGTTTGATGTTTTCGTGTGAAGTTATCGTTTTTTATGGAGCACGCGATTTCAGAAAGCTTAGATCTCCCTATGGACTTCCGCCCCAGTCTGTTAAGACAGAACAGGGACGTGTACCGGAATATATGTGTGAGAAGCGACGCTGGTGGCCAGCCAAACTCTGCCTCAAAATGCTCCACCCAGCGCGCAAGACGTCGCTGTTGATTATGAATGCGCGAGAAAGCCTCAGTATGGTCGAGGGTGAGTGTCTAGGGTTGCGGCTGGTTACCCTTCCCTTGCACCTCGCGAGATGCGCCCATACGACCATGCGTCTCATATAGCCTTTGCTGAGGAAGCCCTACTCACTGCCTTCTCGTAGCGGAGGTATTTTCTCACCAAAGTGAGTGGACGAAAAGCCGACATCCTGA